CAGGCCTCCGGCGGGACGGGCGAGCCAGGCCGGGCCCTCTGCCCGCACCCGCCACCGCGGCGGCGAAAGGCCCCGCAGCCTGAGGGTGTCGGTCGCTAAAGCTTAGCTCCGCGCTGCAGCTTTAAATCCAAATTTTCAAATGGAATTAATAAATGGACAGAGAACGGTGATAAATCGGTGAGCCGCGCTCCTGCGAGAGACGCTGCAGGGCAGCTCCCAGATCGGGCGGGAGCAGGCCTCACTTAGGGGACCTGGAGAGAAAGGCTGGCAGGGACCGGGGAGCGCAAGGAAATCACAGCCGGGTGAGCGACCAGTAAAAATAACCCTGGTGACTCCTTCACGCGGGTGTCCAGAGGCTGCGGGAGGAATCCCAGCCCCGCTGGCGAGGAGGCCTTCCCAAGTGAGTCATTGGTGGGAAGAGCGAAGTGGTGGCATGTTGCCAGAAGTCGGGCTAAAATCTGTTTTAACGGACTTTAATCTGGGATTATTCCGGGGATGTACTTTGGGAGGGCGTGCAGGAGGTGCCAGTGCTTTTTCCCCCTCACGGGCAGGACACTGGGCACTTGTGTGCTCCCACCTCAAGAAACGCCGCTGTCTCTTTACCAGCATCTACCCGCCCCCCCCGACTGTCATCTGGAAAATCGATTCTCACCATCCTGCCCTTTGCAGTCAGATACCCCCGTCATCACACCGCCTTAACGCACAAAATCCAGTCCAACGAGGGAAATCCCTCCCCACCATACACCAGGAATACAACAATGACCTGTAGGATATCAGGACATTTTCCACCCAGACTTCAACTCCTCACCGTAGCCTCCAAGTCCTGCCTGCAACTGAAAACACTCTTACACCTTGAAACACGCATGTGGGCCCATATGTTGTGGGTCCCTGCCCAGGCACAGGCAGCCTGATCGCTAATTAAACCTCCTTCTGCTCCAATTCTGTTTCCCCAACACACACTGCCTCCATCCCAGATACACAAAAGCATTTTCTGAGCTTCATCAATCTATAACTAGGCTAAACTGTCTGTTCAGGAATAATCAAATTAATGTGGACTCTAATGAAGGGCAAATCTCATCTCATGCATGTGGTAAAGGAGGAAAAATAAATACTGAAACAGGACAGAAAATTTTTTAAAAAAGCTTCAAAGTTTAGGCTAGTTCTTAGAAACAGGAAGCTTTTCCATATTGTATTTGTGAACAAAAATCTTTGCACTGATGCTGCTTTAAGCTGCATAACCCGGCTTAGCTAGTTACAGTAGTAATTCCACCACAGTCAAAAGGCAAACTGGATCCTTTGGGGTTTCTGTGAGTAATTATACATAGTTTGAAGAAGTTTTAAACACAGACTCACTGACTTAAGGAAAGCATGCTGACTTACCAAGATTGTAGTTTAGTATTACTTCGCACAAGCGTTTCTAAGCCTTTGCAGAGTAACTACAAGTTTCTAACAATTCTTATCTAAGGAGAAACAGTTTTTCTCCACAAGCTGTGAACACAGAGCAGTCTGACTGCAGGTTCCAAACATAGTAGTGCTGCTCCTGTAAATCACAAAAGAACTTTACGAGCAGCTTTGAGGTGTAAATTGATAATCCTGTTTCACTGCATTAACAGAGACTAACTTTTAGTACGAAGTATTGCAAATAAACATTTTCTCTTCTAGCTGAAATAAACTTCCACTGCTTTTCAGCCAACACCAAGCTGTATTTTGGTATGGAAATTGGGGGTTTTAACACATACGAAATGCTGGATGGAATTATGACAAAGGGATTATAATTTTGCTGCTGGGAGGAAAAAAAAAAAAAAAGGCCTAATTCTTTACTGTAGTCATCCAGCCGGGTTTACAGAACACAGTAAGAAATTACCAGTGACATTTACAAAAACAAACCCAAACTTCTTTAAAACCAGCAATTTAAGAGTATGTGGAACCTCTGTGATACACACTAGACCCGACCAGATGGTACACGCCTGGTTTTAAAGAATAACTCCATTAAATCTGCAGGCATGTTTTCGTCTGTTGGTGGTGATTTTTTTCCCCTATCCCCAAGGGAAGCTAATGGGATACCTCTTAGAGGATATTCAAAACTATATTACAGTATCAGTATGTGAATATAGGACAGATTTTGATGACAACATTTTACAACTTGGTAAAATACAATCTCCCCGAAAAATAAAAGTTATTAGAAAACATTATCATCAAGCCTGGTCATCCAGGTCCTGTTTGCAACTTTGCTGCTGGTTTAAAGTGGGACTTTTAGCAAAATATTTACATCTGTTTCCCCGTCTGTAAGTTGGCAGCCACAAAAGACATTCCTCATACAACTGAGGACACAGAGAATCAAGTTAAGCTCTGGTGCAGAAGCAGAAACATCCAGTGAAGACAGTTACACCATGGATTAACTTTCCTGTTTGTAAAGTGCATAATATAATCCACATGTACCAAAAGGAAAAACTGACTAAAAATGAGCCCTTTGAAAGAGATACAGAGTGAGAGCAGAATGTCTTGCACTAAGGTTATGTATTTAACAGTTTTACATGAAATATTTATATATAAAAACTTTAAGTGCTTTTTCTCCAATTTAAAAATCTAAAGAATTCAAAAATAAGGCATTCAATATTTGAAAAAGTACAGATTTACAAAATGTGTATATTCTGTCATGAAAACTCCACACCAACATTATACACTTGGAAAAAAAATACAAACAGGATATATTACAAATTTATGTAGCAATAACTTAGTTCATACCATGCAATAAAAAGTACGTTAATCAAGATACACAAGCTTTTAAGGTTCCTAAACGGGAGGGCTTAATTTTGTTTGCAAATGAGTTTTTATGCAAATTCTTAGAACTGTGGCACTTGAAATTTCTGGTAGCCTTTCTACTGAGAGTTAAATTGTACATCATGATTATGAGGACGGAGAGTAACAAAGCAGCTGTTACGAATCATTCCAACTTTGTTCGACAATAGCTGAAACTCTTTTCTCATATTCACGTTTGTTCTCCTGATAAAGTTGTGCCGCCTGACTGTTTGCTGGACTGTTTGGATTAGGTTCATCAAGCAGAGACTGTAAAAAGGGGAAAACAAAACGTCAAACTAACGCATTTTACATCAGGGAAAAATCACCTTACAACCTTCAAATCAAATGTGTTTCAGGAGGCAGACATGACTCAGAAGAACCCAGTTTAAAAAAAAACAAACAAACCCAACAGTTAAACTCATGGTTAGGCACCCATAATTACATTAGCGAACCTCAAATTATACACTGCATAAGCATTAATACTGCGTACACTTCTAGGTTCAAAGCTGTCTGTGCCAGGCAGCAGTATTGCTAATTGATTATTTGGTAATTACACTACTATTGTCATTCAGGACTAAAGAGGGGCTTAAGATGCCTCCTACAAAACTTCACTGTAGAAAAATAAAAAGTCACACAGGAAAATGTGCATTTTTGCTGTTGCAGGCTATTTTTACTTATTCCAAGTGAAGTAGGTTTCAGCTGTGTTGTCTCCTTGAGGACTTTGTAGAGCATGGCTTCACAATAAAGGTTAGCGTTTAAACACCAGGCAAATTTCCACCTGTCATGTCCTATCTTAACTAAAAACAGTTAAAAAGCAATCCAAATCAGTCACTGTTTTCCCGGAAAAAAGTATCTAGTTTTGTGGCTCAAAATTAGTAATTACACAGGTTAGCCTTTATTTGATCTAAAAAGCGACTGCTTAGCTCACAAGTATTTGGCTAGCCCCATCACTGAGCCGTGTATCCTGGAGCAGAGACTAACAGCAACGTAATTACTTGCTAAAATAGATGCAAAGTTACCTGAATTGAAGTTAAAATAGATGAAACATCGTATGTTGGACTCCAGCGATTCTGAAGAATATCTAAACATATGCTACCATCCGCATAAACTGCAAATACAACACAGATACTATTTAGAAACGATCAGATTTGGTTTATAGTTTGTTCATTATATACTGTTCAAGGCAGTTACTGTTCTAATTCAGTCTGTGCTTAAATTGATGCTTTAGGAAAGAGGACAGCACTTAAGCCTCACAATCCTCTGTAGTTTGACACGTTGTATTTTGAAGGAGATACATTACTGGAAATAACAGAACACTTGAGGAGAAGGAAGGTCTAAAGATCTGGTTTCTTGCTCCTCTTGCGTGACTGGTGCAGACACAGAGAGAGGAGAGGCTCCCCAGAGAGCAGCGAGCCACGTACTGCAGGAGTGGAACCCAGGGCACCAGCCCAGGACCTCAGTCAGAATGGACTCACACCGAACGCGGGGAGCTCTCACCCCATTTTCACATCCTGTGCACTCACTATGAGACACACTAAGGCAGATAATGGGAAATACTGGAAAGTGTGCCTGAAATCCTCATTCTGTCTGGATACCTATCAATAGTCTTAATACAGGAGCCTGTATGAATCCGATTCGCAGCTCGAACTCCTACACACTAGTCTTCTAGCTTGTTCGTGTCGATAAAACCCAACAAATTACCAAAAGCCTGTCAGAGACACGCTGGCCTGCGCGTTACGTGGCAGACGGATTGTCAGACAGCACTGTCTAGAAGGTCACAGAACTGAAGGCAAGGTCAGCCTCTGTTCAAGGAGGGCTCAGGCCACAAGAAATGCAAGAATCACTGAATAAAACCTATCAAGTGCTGGAGCAGGAGCCACGGCGCACTCTCATAACGCTGCCCTCACCACTGGGTTGGGCTCAGCTGCCTCCTCCGCACTCCCACCTTCTTCCCTGTGCTAGTACTTCTTGGTACAGCGAACCAAAGGCAGGGACTTGGTTAAAATCTCACCTGACAGAAATAAATAACACTTGGCTCAATCAGTTCCCTACTCCAATTCACCATGTGGCTGCACATACACGATTGCTGTGAAATGGAAGGGGGCAGGAATCTGCAACCAAAACTGCCTCTTTAAGCCAACCTAAAGTGCAGCTGCTGCTGAAAATGCTCCCAAGCTTTGCTACTGCGGCTATATATTGATTAGAGAGAGACAGATAGCTGCTTCTTAATAGCATCATAACTCTTAATTTTTCATCAAGCAGTTGCTGTCCTAGACATCTACTGAGGAGGCGGCAATAAAGAGAGATGGAGAGCTGTTAAGCATTCTGGCGCTTCGCAGAATACATGACCGCACCATAATATTTAGTGGGTATTATGGCTAAATAAAAATGATTTACTCACCATTTGGATGGAACATTTTTGATAAAAACCTAACAGTTGGAGGCTTATTTGGATATTCTTCGGAAAATTCTATTACTAGTTTAAAAGTACCTGTCCAAACAAACATAAATACAATCATTTAACTAACAACAATAGAACAACTCCAGGAACACATACAACATAAGTCAATTTATGTGCTTCAGGATCAATATTTTTTTCTCAACATTATATAAACAAACAACACAGTCTGGTTTCTTTTCATGTATTTCAAGTTAGAATGGAATATGACTTAGTGACAGTAATAAACCCAACAGCAGCAGCTTGGCAGAAGCCTGGAGACTCACTGTACACATGGCAAAGGCAGCGAGACCCAACATCAATTATCCCACTGCCCTCCTCTTTTTCTGTGACCCAACAGGCCAGTTCTGTGGACACTGGTGACTTTCAGATGTTTCATTAAGAAGGCACAAAGAAACACTGGAATTTCGTAATCAGCAATCTCATTGGAGAGCTCGTCTTTGGAGCTCATGACTGATTCACTAAAAAACTTTATTATGGATCAGTGAATCATTTACTCTAACTCCTCCAACCCAACACAGAAAAAAACCCATCTGCTGCTGATTACTGCAATAATACTATAATTATTAAACTCATTATTCCTCATATGCCTAAGGGAGGTTCATTACACACCAACTTTCATGTTTATGTACAAATTTGGTATTCCCTCCCCCTCACCAAGTTCTATATTCAGAACAATTGAAGATTTTTCACCTGTTCTTCATTAGGAGAACAGAGACAAATCAAACATGCCACAAAGATGAAGCCAGAGAAGCCCACTGTCTTGTTGAGCTTAGCTCTGGAGACGTGGAAACACATCTGGCAGCATCAGACCAACTTCCCCCACTGAAAGCTCTAGTGTATATGTATAAACAAGTCTTAATATAAGCATTGCTTCATAACTTCCTATCAACCACTATGACAAGACACTGCTCACATCATAATACATATTTTTATAGCCAACAAGACCTTACTCATTCACTTGCTTAGTTTGTTCCAAATTCTATGTAGATAACATCTATTAATTTTCCAAAGCAGAACAATGTTAATACCGGCAATATTTATAAGGATAACAGAGGATATAAAAGTTAGTGGCTTACCATCTTCAAAAGGTGTCCCTTCTGGCCTGAAAGGTTTAAAAACAAACTCCAGTTAAAAACGGTCATTACCTACTTCTAAACAGGCATAGTAAATTTGTATCTTCTTCATTCTCCCCAAGTTATAGGTAGAGGCAATAATTTAATATTTAGAGAAGTATCCAGAGGCAACCTCTGAGAGTTTTGCCATATCTAAAGACGTTCCCACAGTCAATCTGCCAGCTGAGATATCGACTTTATCATCATCCCAAACAATACGTGTGCCATTATGTGACTAGATTGGAATTAATGAGCTAATTACTAGGAAGCATAGTTCAGTTTTGTGAGAGGATACCGAGCCAGTTCCTGTTCTGTAGGATATGTAATGTAACTCCTCAGACAGAACCTGTACCTCGTTCTACTGGGAATCAATCCAGTCACTAATACATCTGGATTTAATGGCTGAGAACATGCAGCTCTTATGTACTTTAAAGACGAAGCTTGCTTTTTCATAACCTAACTCCTACAAACTCTAACCGATTTATTAAGCCATGTGCAAGCTTTATTATTTTTTTTTCTAAATTTTAATTTTTTCTTTCCTATGTGTTCTATATTACCCCTGAAAACAGATTTTTATCACAACAGCACACAAGTAATTTTTCCTAAGATTCCTGACTTTATGTACATAAAAGAGAATCATTGTAAAAACAAACTTCAAGTTTTGTTATATTTAGTCTTTTGATATAAAATTTTACAGTGATCAAAACTCTTACCCAAATATAACTGCATTCCATTGCATTATATTATTCTCAGATGGTGCACCACTGACACCCACAGGAGGGTCTTCTTGCAATCTAAAAATTACAAATACAGAATGACAAGCCTTATATAAACAAAATACTTCCACCTGCAAGTATAATTTAACAGTAACCAGATTTTGTAAATATTTTCTCATTCCAAATCAGAGAAGACACAAAGCATTACACCCAGATTATGAATACTCCAAAAAACAAACCTCCAATTCATTCTCAAGATTTTTTTCTCAAGATTTTCACCAACACCCTACACAGCCCAACAGGTTAGATTAAGTGTGCAGGGAGCAAAGCATTAACTCTAAGAATAATTTAAAGCTGCACGTACAGCTGGGATTTACAGTACTAGACAGTGAACCATGAAAGAGCGATTGCTGCTGGCTGCCACAATGAAGAAGGGAACAAATTGCAGCCACAAACAGGAGCTGAAAACCAGAAACCAGGCCGGGACTCTCACCCGGCACACCTGCTGGGACTAAGCACAAGGGACTGTCAGCAGAGCTTGTCCTGCCCTCCCAGATCCATGTGCATGACGCAGTTAAATGGGGCATAAGCCTATTTTGACTAGCAAGCTGATTGCTTCAAAAGAGAGCAAGGGGAAAACCTGGGTACTGCTCCCTCTTACCAGTTCAACAAATATGTTTATCTTTAAAGTAATCATGGGAGCATTTAAAATTCTTTTTTAGTTCCTTAATCCTTGGGACTAGGGAAAAGCATGTTACTTACTGAAAACCACAAAACCTGGGACTAGACAGAAATACATATCATAGCCGGGAACAGGATCCAGATACCCTCCTGCTGCCCACCCGTCTGTGTACCAGTGTTTCTGCTTAAGGATCACACGAGACCCCGAACAACATAAACCAGCAAGACCCAAGCACTTTGTCCCATCAACCCTCTTCAGTGACAGCTCCTACCCACCCCGCCTGTTCAGCCTCTTGAGTTACGCACGAATAAAGAAAACGAATAAAGACTGCCCTTGCTTCAAAAGCAATTCTTTGGTGTTAACATGAGGTTTGACCACACGGCAGTACACTTAGGAACAAGTCGCCACCAAAAGCCCTGCAGACCAAGGGACAAATTCTGACTCGGCCTCGGCGTGGAAATGCAGATTTATTCAGAGCTGGCACTGGTGATCCAGCCACTGCATTCCCCTGCACTTGCACCGTGCAAAAAACTTGGCAGTTTTATCACTTACCTGTGATAAAACTGCACTTGTACACAGATGCTGAGCAATACAGACACAGGCCGGGAACAGGGATCAGGGCTTGCAGCTCGGATCCCCTCTCAACTCTCTGTTTACATCCTCCCTCTCCGAGCACACGCAGTTCTGGCAGCTTAGTCTCAACAGCCTAATCGCCTACTATTTTGGTCAGGGAGAGCAGGAACAGGACTTCTCCCTGCGTGACAGCCAGACTGCACACCAACAATAACGCCTGAGCATTCAGCCTGACAAACGCATCTGAAGGATGGCTTTGGTTTGGGGATCAACTTGAAAGCTCGCGTGCAGCCTGCTGTCAAAGGGTCTAACTAAAGAAAGGCTGTGGCAAGGACTGGAAGTTAGACTGAGCCAAAAAGCGCCTGGAAATCTTAAACAGCTAGGGAAAAATGTAGTACTTGTAACTCCTTTTTAACAGCAAAACATCCCCAACTTATTCTGTTGGTTTAATCAAACAAATTCAATGAGATACAAGATCTGTTGAGCTGTGTTCTCTCTTCACTGCTCTCGACAATCACTGTATGCAAAATATGTTTATATTAAATAAAGTGAATCAAGAGTTCACAGCGACGGTCTGCTTTTTTTGCATGAGGTACAAGTAACAGAAGACTAAACCAAAATATAACATAGTAGAAAAAGTAAAAAATTTGACCCGAAAAAGTCGCATGTCTTGGGGTACTGAAGTTGTCATATATTCAATAAATAAATTTGGTTTACTTTCTGTTTATTTGGTTATACTTTTCCACGGCTTTAAAGTCTTCTCTACCTTAAACTTCAAAATTATTAAACCAGTCCTTCTACGGTTATAAAATCATAAAAATCATGTTTGATTGCAATCCTAAAAAATTACTTAGTTCCTCACCCTGAAAAAAATCACTGGTTCATGTCATCTGTGTAATTGAATACAATAAAAAGACTGAATATCCTGTTTTGATTTGAACAGGAATCAAGCAACACCCACTTAGCAAACACTAACACCCAAACACAACAGAAGAGGTTGGCTCCACATCTCAAAAACATCCAACTTTCTGTAGATTCACAAATCTGGCTTTTCCCACTGCAGTTTTACATGCAAGTCACGTAAAGAAACTACAATAGACATCAACTGTTTCCTGATGTATTTTCAGGTACTGGTATAACACAGCTATGCTAAAAAAAAAAAAAAAAGAGACACTATCAAGGCTGACTCACCTCCAACAACTTAGGAGAGACTCCAGTCCAGAGAAATGATCCGACATACTGTAAAGCTTACAAAAGAACCCTCCACCTTTTTTCCATGCTCTGTTATGTGTTTACATGTCAGACTGGAAATAAATTATTCTAGAGTCTGTGGTTCAGTCATTAACATTTAAAAGAGCGCAGCTAATAACTGCTTCTTTAGCAGTTCGTCTGCATTATACAGAAGATTCCTCCTGATTGAAAACTTTAGACAGAATAGCACGCACGTAAAAACATTACAGGGCATTTCGGCTTTTATTACATACAGACCAGTGAAGTGTTTGCTAATTGTTTGTGCTTCGTTTTGAGATGTCCGTCCCGAATTCTACTTATTTTCGGAGACTGCCGGCCCACCGAGCCCCAAGCGCCTCTAAAGCCTGGTCTGTTCAGAAAAATGGGCCAAACACCTTCGGTATTCAAAAACCTGTGCGAGGAAAGGGGGGGTGCGGACGGCCAGCACAAACCTCCAGCCTCGGCCAGCTCCGCACCGCCGGGCCCTGCCAGGGGGCACCGGCAAGGGGCTCCCACCGCC